GCCCAATTTTTTACTTTTACCAATGCTCCAACCAAATGAAAAATGCACCTTAATAGAAATTCCTTGGGCATATTACCTCCACCATGTACCTCAAAATTCTGTTCCATCCAAATGCACCAAATAGTAATAGAAAATACACAATTCCAAATAACTATGAAATTAACAATGTGTTAGGTTTGCTTTGTTGTCAACTATGGATTGGAATTACCCATGTGTAAACAGCCATTAAGAAGTGCTGATTTTCTCCTTACGTCTTGCTAGGTGTGGTGCATAGATATGAATGAATAAGAAAAAGCTAGATTTAAGAGATGCCTTTGGGGTGTAAAAGCTACGTCAAGAGCACCGGAAAATGTCAATGGGCACTATTACTATTCTCTTACTGTTGTGATATGAGATCCATAGGTGTTGAACCTGAACCAAGGTTGTCTGCGAACTAAAGATGTAGTTGTTGAACACCCCGTTAGTACCACTGTTATCACATTGTTTTGCTTCGGTTGAAGAGGTCAAAGCCTTCGACCTTGGTCAGTTTGGGCTGTTTCGGTCAGATTCGAGTTTTTTTCGAGCTGATTCGGCCAAAGCTTCGGTCACTTTGACCTGAGCAAGGAAATATCTTTATAAAAGTAATTTTTTATTATTTTTTTGAAATTTTTATTTTTAATTGTTCATTATTTTTATATATTTATATATATAAATATATAATTTAGGCAGATAATACAAAACGCCTATAAGCGAAAATGAATAGTGATTTGGCCAACCCTCATCACCATCCAAACTTCATCGTATGGTCACATTTGTCTAGTAGTGTTTTAATTTTCATTTTTGGTTTACTAATCAGAATGATCTAAAATTTGGAGCGTATGTACATCTTAGTGAGACGCACCTAATAAAAACATGAAAAAAAATAATTTATAAATATAAATTGACCAAAATATCCCCATAAATTTCAGAGGTATTTGGTCAATTTATATTTTACAAATTTTTTTTTCACATTTTTATTAGTTGTGCCTCACTAAGATGTACACACGCTCTAAATTTCAAGTAATTTGAAAAAAAAAAAATTGAAACACTACTGGACAACTGATCATGCGATGAAGTTTGAATGGTAATGAGGGTAAGCGAAATCACTGTTCAATTTCACTTATAGGCGTTGGGAAGAGTTTTCCTATAATTTATTTATATTAAATTATACAAATAAAAAAGTCTGAAGTCTTCCCCTGAATCGGCCGAAACACTGAATTGCTTCATTTTTCTCGACAAATCGAAATTTTTTTGGGTTTGGTGATAGCTACCATGGCCATATTTTCTTCTAAAGATTAGGGTATTATGAGAAATAAAAAATTGAATTTTTTGGGAAGCAAGAAAGTGGTTTTTTATAAGAGAGTGAATGATGACGTAATATCCATCCTTTTAAGGGTCACCCCTTTGGGGATTATGGGAATGGATATCTAATATGGAGATGGGTCTTCAAGAGAGAGAGAGACATGGCCTCCGAGATGGTTAACTTCCACTTTTAGAGAGAGAAAATCTCTATATTGCTATCAAGGTTATCTTTCCGGTAGCGCCATTGCGATGGGAATGAGGTTGATCAACGGTTTTGTTCGGTCGGAAAAGCGGGTTTAGAAGGGAAGATCGGTGACGTTTTTTACCGATGTTTAAAGATAGGTATTATTTCTTGTAACTCAAACGGTAATCTTCATTGTCATAGTGGATTTTTAGTTGCTAAGGCCGTGGATGTAGCCCTACGGGGTGAACCATGTAAATCATGTGCTATTGTGGCGTGTTTTTTATGTTTGCTTTATTTTTCACATCAATTTATAGTTGTATTCATGTACTTCACATTTAGTCAATCATGTACACGATCTTGGATGGGATCTCGGTGTTTGAGATTCTCGGTTCAGCAAGCTAAGGGGTTCACGAGAACCCTACAATTGGTATCAGAGCATAAGGTGTGTATGGAGTTAAGGCTTGCGTTAAGAAAATGATGAATAGTGGAGTTTGATGGATACATGGTTTGAGGCAGAAAAATATGGAGGCAAAGTGTTTGTGAAAATTCCACAATGAAAGCAATTGAGAAGAAATAAAAAAATATCCATGGTTTGAGGTAAAAAAATATGAAGGCAAAATGTTTGTGAAAATTTCACAATAGAGGCAAGTATGAAGAAATCAATAAATATATTCAATGAAGGTTGTCAAGGCAATTATGGTGATTTTGCTATCAAGGTGGAGATTGTTAGGTTTGGTGATAGCTACATCACCATATCCATATTTTATTCTAAAGATTAGGGTATTATGGGAAATAAAAAAATTAACTTTCTTGAAAAGCAAGAAAGTGATTTCTTTATAAGAAAGTGAATGATGACATAATACCTATCTTTTTGAAAGTCACCCCTTTGGGGGTTATGGAAATGAATCTCCTTATGGAGATGGGTCTCCAAGAGAGACAGACATAGCCTCCGATAGAGAGGCGGTATTCCAATGAGTTTTGAGTTGTTTAACTTCCACTTCTAGAGAGAGAAAATCTTTGTATTGCTCTCTATCTTTCCGATAGTGGCATTGCGGTGGGAAGTAAGTTGATCGAAAGTGTTGCTCGGTCGGGAGAGCGGGTTTAAAAGGGAAGCTCGGTGATGATTTTTTACCGATGTTTAAACATAGGTATTATCTCTTGTAACTCAAAACTATAATCTTCATTGTGATAGTGGATTTCTAGTTGTCGAGGCCGTGGATGTAGCCCTATGGGGTGAACCACGTAAATCGTGTATTGTTGTAGTGTGTTTTTTATAGTTGTTTTATTTCTCGCACTCGATTTATAGTTATATTCATATACTTCGCATTTAGTCAATTATGTATATGATCTTGAGTGGAACCCCGGTGTTTGGGATTCCCGATTCCGCAAACTAAGGGTTTCACAAGAACCCTATAAGAAACTCTGAAGCCAATGTGCAACATTGATTAGTACCAATATTGCGGCCGTTCACTTCATGAATGAGGAGTTTTTGATGTATTTGGAGTTTTTTTGGCCAAGCCATCTCAAAGCCCTCATTTTCTCAACAATCAAGCCAATGCTTGAACACCTCGTACATGAAACCAGTGTGAAAAGAGCATCTCAATGATTATTTGGCGTCAGATGGGATGGCCAATAATTTGGTGTAAATAGGAGAAGATAGAGACCAGAGGGTGTTAATGAAAACGCAGGAGATTCCTAGGCTTACCCTTCCTTCAGAATGGTTATTACTTACCCATAAAAAATAAAATAAAAAAATAAAAAATAAATCAAGAGGCACAAAAAATTTGTAGGAAGATGCCATTTGGTCTTCCTCTAGATTTAAGTCAAATGAACCAAAATCAGAACACATACACCAAACCTGATGGTCAAATGGGGCAGCAATTGGTTCTATCCAGCGTTTTAAAAAACGCGACTCGGAAATCGTGAAAAGGGGACCGGATCGCCCAAAAATCGGAAATCGTCCGGTTTTAGAGAGAACCGGACGATTCTGTACAGTGAATCGCCGATTCACTGTACGGAATCGGCGAGTCAGAACAGTGAATCGGCGATTCCGTACGAATTTTTTTTTTTTTTTTTTTGGTAATCCATGATAG